TGTTCACCCACCCCCTGTTTACCGTCTTTGTGTTGCCTAGACAAAGCTGGCGAGGAGGAAGGAACACGGGTCCATAACTGGGTACATCCCATGCTGCACTTCTTTGTCTGGGGAAGAGGAGTAGGATAAGGCAGAGTCATAGGAAAGTGAGGCCCAGGCAGAGGAGTGCTGAAGCCATGGCACTGTAAGGGGCACGGGAATCCACAGAGTTTCTTGGACTTTATTGAGTCTTGGGTCTGCTATTATTGCTTTGGTTGCTGTTCTTGTTGGGGTCTGAGATTGTCATTTGATGGTGAAGGGATAGAATAGGAGGCAGGGAAAGACTCTACTCATTCTCAAATAGGCTGTGTTGTCACTTCCCGTGCCATCTTCATGTTGATATCTGGCTTTGGAGTTGGCCATGTGACATGGAAGGTGACAGAGATAGTGGTGCCTAAACTGCACTTGGCTACACACCTAGCCCCCTAAAGAATGGACCTCTGTGTACTGTTCTTTCCTCTTTGCTGTCAGATTATCTTTCTTGGTCTGCTTGGTCAGCCTGTACATCTGTGATTCCAGACCTCCTTCTAGTCCCCATCAAATTAGGAGACACATTTCTCTGTGTCTTCCCAGATCTTCCTATCTTGAAGAGGAATTTTCTACCTAGCTGACCACCGTTCCCCATCCTACCACCTATACCTGTAATTCTTTGCATTCCTTAGCTCAGTTGATGTGCATCTTTGTGCAAAAGACTTGGTGCAAGTCTTTAGACTCTAATCTGTGTGACAGCAAGGATCAGTAGCTATCTTGTTTAGGCTATAATCTCAGTACCTGACAGTGCCTGGAACTTAGTAGATGCTCAATAAATATTTGATGAATAATATTTTGATTAAATGTTTAGGCATCTGCTTTATCTTACTCTATTTCAAGGGGAAAGGTCTTTCTTTCAATAAAGCAGAGATTTTCTTGCCTGCAATGAGTATACTGAAATTATCTGGATTGGGGAAAATTTTGTTGCCAAGGCTAGAAGAGGTTTCCTAACTTCTTTTGAGACAACAGGAGGGATATTATGAGATATATACTGAAGATTTAAATTGCTCTGAGAAGTCAGTACAAGAGACAGAGATTTGTTGTTTGGGAGAGAGATTTGGAGAGAGTCCAAGCACTAGGATTGGCCTTCCCAGATGACAAAGAAGCTCCCTGGTTTTGTCAGCCAGACAAGCAATGCCTAACACAAGAAGGAGACAATGACTCATTTTTACTCTGGGTTAACATTTGTACCCAAGATTTAAATATTAGAATAATTTAAAGAAGTGACATAAGAAAGCAAAGACCAAGAATGCCCCTAGTCTGGACTCTGAGGGATGGATGAGCCAAGATGCATTTGGTTCTTTGAACAGAATACAGTCCTTACTCTTTTTCCATACAAAGGGCAGGGACTTAATTCATTATAAACCAAAGCAAGCATGGAGCCTACAAACTTACTGAACATTACATTCAAATAAACATCACAGTGAGCCAAGAAACTCTGTATGCAAATGTATTTTTATTACTTTAATAAAGCACGTAAGGTTGATTACTTTATAAAGCAAATGAATTTATTTAGCTTGCCATTTTGGAGCTCCTACTTGTCAGTTTTCCATCGCTGGAACAAAATACCTGATCCTTGCAACTTAAATAAAAGATTTATTTTGGCTCCTGGTCTCAGAGGATTTAGTCCACAGTTGTCTGATGCTAAGACAGAAATATTGTGGCAGAAGGAAATGGCAAAGCAAAGATGTCTACCTCATGGCATCCAAGAGAGAGCAGGAGAAGAGCTAAAGAGAAAGAGGCCAAGCACCAAACACAGTCCCAAAGATCATCTCCCATGATCCAACCAGACAGATCCAGTAAGTGTGCTTTACAATCTCTAGGTGTCTAAACCAATCAAGTTAACAATCAAGATTAATCATCACACAATCTGAAAGTCCAAGAACAGGCAGCACTCTCCACTGGAACTCTGGTGAGAGCTTCCTGATTGTGTCATGATATGGTAGATGGCATCATGGTGGAATGCACACAAGAGGGAGGGATCACAGGGTGAAATAGGAAGCAAGAGGGAGTTAGGGGCCTGGTTTACTCTTTTTATATCAACTTGCTTTCTCGGGAACTAAGTAGATGCTATGAGAATGACATTAATCCTTTCCATAGTGGTATCTCCCAGTGACCTGTCTTCCAGAATTCCTCAGGGTTTAAAGGTTCCACCACTTCTCAGCAATAACACACACAGGACCAAGCTTCCAGCATCCAGACTTTCGTGGGACACACTCAAACTGTCCAAACATAGCACCATGTAAATTCCACTAAATCTTTCACTCTATACTGAGGATTATGAATCTATAAAAGATTTTTTAAAATACTGTTCCTGTACGCAAAGAATTTAAACTAGAGTAGACTATTTTTGTGTGAAGTTTTCAGAAAAACATTTCACACCAAATTTGTTAAGTCAGACCATCAAAGCAATCTCAGAACCAAGCCACTAATTAATTTCACTTGAGTCTTTGCACTGAGTGCATTTCCATCGTGGGGTCACCACTCTATTTCATAACTATGGAAGGAATCTTAGGCAATAGACCCAAACAGGACTTTTTGGGTTCCAACTAAAGTTGGGATGCAGAAGACCCTACATGTGACCAAAATATATCTATCATGCTTCCTGCCTTTACTTTCTTTGTTTTTAATTAACAACAAAATTATATTTTGGTAGTATAAGCATGATATTTTAATATATGTATATAAATTGTAGAATAACAAATCAAGAAATTTAGCATATGTATTATCTTGCATGTTCATTTTTCAGTTAAGAACACTTAAAACTTACCAACTTAGCAGTTTTCGAGTATACAATATATTTTAATGAAGTACAGTTACTGTGACATACAATAGATATTTTGAACGTATTCCCCCAGTCTAACTGAACTGTTCTGTCTTTCCAATCCTTCCTGCTCCTGCCAGCCTCTGGAAACCACCATTCTACCCTCTGATTCCATGAGTTTTATCATTTCAGATTCCACATATAAGTGAAAGTATGTTATGTTTCTCTTTCTGTGGCTGGCTTGTTTCACTTAATATATTATATCATAGATTCATACCTTTTTTGGGTTAATGATAAGATTCCCTTGTTTTCAAAGGCTGAATAATAGCTAGCTAGCTAGCTAGCTAAATATGATAGATAGATACAGATGGATAGATAGATAGATGATAAACAGATAAATAGATAGATAGATGCCACATTTTCTGTCTGTTCATCAGCTAATGAATGTCTAGGTTGGTTTTACATCTTGGCCATTGGGTTTCACTCTCTTCTGTGCTGGGAATAGAAAGAGGCTTGGCAAGTCCTGTCCGATGCTGCAGCAGCCTCTTATGACCAAGCATCTCCAGATTGTACCCCCCAGCTGATGGAAGATCTCTGCCTTTTTCCATACCCTTCTCTGGGAAGAATAGCAAAGGTCCTCAAGAAGCATACTGCTTAGCTGGTCACTCCGCTTATCGACCAGCTCTCCATTTCCCTTGAGTGCTGGAACCTCTGCCCAGTTTCAGGGCATGACCAGAGGGTGCCATGGGAAAAGATGCTTTCTTTGTGAGGCCAGGCACTGACTGAAAATCTCTCCCTTCCTCCTAACAGGTCCTCTCTTGGGACAGTCAAGTTTACCTATGTGGCTGAACTGAATTCCATTTCAGTAAATAAATAATCCTATTTTCACTGACAACAAACCAAGATTTTCCTTCCCCGGAAGAGGATAGATCTGTTAGGAAGAGGACATGCACCTGTGGAATTTAACTGGAAGTCAGGGGTATTCATTGCCAAGGCCAGAATATAGGTACATCTGGGAGCCCAGCAGAAGAGGCAGCACCATGCCAGCTATCTGCTCATCCTGAATGTTACCCTCAGGCCTGGCATTTTTGCCCATATGCCTCATGACCTGGTTGCTAACAGCTCGCTTCCAGGACAAGATAGTGGTTCTAACATATACAAGCTGATACAATGGCAATGATCCCCAGGGAGTAGTTTTTCAAATTCTACTTTTTGTTTGTAGGTACTTATAGACTCACGTCCAGTTATAAGAAATAATACAGAGAAGTATTCCCACCAATGGCAACATCTTACAAACTATAGGATGATATCACAGCTTCTGACATTTACGTAACTATAACCCACTGGTGTTAGACTTCCCAGATTTACTTGTGCTCATTTAGGTGTATAGTTAGTATGTATTTAGTTCTTTTCAACTTTGTATGTGTAAGATGTGTCAAGATATAAAACCATCCATCACCACATAGATCCTTCCTGTTTCCTTTTATAACCACCCCTTCTTCTCCTCACCTCCCCCATCTTTAACCTCTGGTAACAACTAATCTGCTATTTCTATACTTTGTCAAGAATGATATATAAATGAAATCATAGGATCTGTAACCTGGGGATTGGCTTTTTCACTCATCATAATTCCCTTGAGATTCTTGCAAGTTATTGAGCATGACAATAATTTGTTTCATATTATTGCTGTACCTATGCTTTTAATCATTTCCCACTCCAATGTGATGCCCACATCCAATTAAAAATCCTTTGGGACATGATCTTCAAGGGTCTTTTACTCTAAGAGAGAAAATACAATTTGGGGAAGTGTTTATTGTTTTAGATTCCACATATAGATGAAATCATAATCATGTTCATCTTTCTGTGGCTTATTTCACTCAACACATTATACCGTAGGTTCATTCTTGTTTTGGTTAATAACAAGATTCCCTTCTTTTCAAAGGCTGAGACAGACAGACTGACAGACAGATAGATGACACTTTCCATATCTGTTCATCAGTTGATGAACACCTAGGTTTGTGTATATAAGAGAGGTAAGACATTTTGCAAGTTTTCTAGGTTTATACAAACCTACTTGGTTTGTTTCCTCCCCAAAGTGACAATTGTATTGTGTTTCCTGTAGCTTTGGTTGACATTTCTTTTTTTGTGTGTGTCCTTTCTTCCCCAGGAGCACATCTACAAGCTGATGAAAAGTGACAGCTATGCCCGCTTCCTCCGGTCCAATGCTTACCAGGACCTGCTGCTGGCCAAGAAGAAGGTATCTTTGGGCAAGGCAGGCTTGCCTCTCAGCACTTTCCACCCTTGCCTGCTGCTTGCTGCTGGTGTGATATGAGAATATCATCCCTTGGGTTTTATTTATTTTCTCTTTTCTCCTTTCCTTTCTCTCTCCGTTCCCTTCCAATGGAAAACAGTGAGGATTATCGCCAGCCCAGCCCTCCCCCAAGGTCCAGGTCTATGTCCCCATTGTCTCTCTCTGCATGCTTTGCCCCTTGGGAAGAGCATATGAGCAAACACTTTGTCCACATTTGTTCAGCACAGAAGTTCTGGGCTGGCAGTGACCCCTGTAAATCCTTTACTGCAAAATCCAACTTTCTTCCCTTAGATTTCTTTTCCCTGTGCTGTTTAGAGATAACTATGAGCAAAGGTTGGGGCAGCCCCTTCCCTGGACAGAAAAACCTTATCCGTTCCAGGGGAGACATCTGGTATCTGGAGTCACCTCCCAGGATTGGTCCCTCTTTGACACATCCTTCCTCAGCCTCACCTGCCCGCAGTGTTTCCCTTTTTTTTTTTTTTTTTTAATTTTTTCAGCCAAGAAGAACCCACCTCAGCTCCTTCCTCCTCCTCCAGTTAGAATGGAGTCACAGCCCCTGTGGCTCTTTGAGCATGGGTCTGGTTTCCTAGGGACCTCCAGCATGTAGGTGATGCAGACAACCAAAGCAGGAAAGACTCTGCTGGGTTTCAGAACAGAGGGAAGAAAAGGAGGGAGAGGGATGGGGCTGGAAAAGGAGCCAGGAGACAGCGCTCATGCCTAGAATGCCAGCCCACCCTCCATACTCTCCACCTCTCATCCAAGGCCTGTGTAGGTTACAGGAGGCTCAAGTTGCACAAATTCTATAATTTCCAGGCCATGCCACTTAGGAACACGTGTATCCCTTTGCTTTTCCCTGTTGGCTTCCCAACTCCAGGCCCAAGTATGTGGTTGTCCATCCACAGGCTCTCTGTAGGGCCACCTCTCAGTCACCTGGTCTGCTCTGTCTTCTGTTGACCTCATGTGCCAGGAGGTCATCTCGTGTGTCTGTGTACACAGCTGGTCCACTCCTGCCAGAGTCTAGGAGAGCATCTGTGTCCTGCCTGTGCCTTAGGTTACATCCAGAAGAGCCTTACTAGTCAGAAGGGAAAAAGGACTTGAGGAATATCCAGACTGTCATAACTCCAGCACCACTGGTTCCTACATCCCTCCTTCAGGGGTAGCTCTTGGATGGAAAACGTGATGCCTGACTTCTTGCAAACTCCCTTCCTGGATGATGGCAGTAAATCCAGGTCTTGATAGAGGAGGACTGAAACACCCCACCCCACAAATTATTCTGATGCCCCTTTTTTTGAAAACTGGAGGAAAAAGCAAAGTTATGGAACTCTAGTCCAGATCTAGAGAGAAGTTCAAAGTAAGTTTTCCTTTTTTGTTAAGATTCAAGTCACCTGAAATAATCACAGTTTGGAGACATTGTCAGGTAGTTGGAATCAATCTGGGATTTGCCTGTGTATCTGGAAGGAGGAGAAGTCTGAGATCTCCCTGTAGGTGTGAACACTCACAGAAGATGCTCCCCTACCCAGGACATAGGCTGAGTGGCTTGAGCCCACAGCTCATCCCTACAAAAGGAAAACTCAGGGGAGGTCAGTTGTGAGGGAGGAACCAATGGCCTTCCTGGGAACTGTGACAAATGAAGTTCATCACGATTTTCCTCCCAGTCCTTAAATTAAGGGATATTCTTGAGGCAAAAAGCCCTTGCAGATGCCAGTATCCTTTCAACATTGAAGGATTGTTTCCCCAAACAGTGACAAAATGTACTTTTGCTTCTATTTCTTTCTGAGAGCTCCAGGTGCAGATGAGATTTGTAACTCAGCATCTTCAGGTAGGCCTAGAGCATCTTCTGGTTTCAAGGGTGGACCTGCCATTTGATAGTAACATCCAGGTCATAAAAGGCAAGGGAGATCCACAACCTCCAACTGAGAGTGTGAATTGGCTCCAGGTTTCTGCTGAGAGCAGCCCCTGATGGTCTCTAAAGGTATAACCTTTTCATTCTTTTTCTTTTATTCTTATCCTTTTCTGATATTTTTAGAGGAAACCATAGTTGCTCTGAAAAACCAAATTTTCATAGGATAGGTGAGCTGGTTTTGAGAGCTACTCCAGAAAAATTAAGTGCCAATGATGATAAGACTCCAGGGTAACTCTGGGACCTGTTTAAGACAGAGGAACCAAGTAAGTCAGGTCAATGTCAGCCCTATATGAGTAGCAACTTGGTGGCCAGGTAATAAGAATGATAGGCACCGAATACTGGATCTTGGACTGGCCTGACTTGAACTAACTCTATGCCACCCTGATTGCCCATGGGTTTAAAATTGAATCCTGCCATCCCTGGAATGGAATCTTGATATGTTCCCAGGACCAAGCAAACATCCTTCAATTCCTTTTATGAGGAAAAATCCAAGTCCTGCTCGTTGGTGGTATGTCATTTGTGTTGTTTTCCTCCTGCAATCTCATGTCTGTCTGAGCAGGCGGGGTCATGGCTGCCAAGGAAGTCCTCCAAGTTTATCCACTACAGCAGGTGGCTGCCTTTGGCCTGGCCCTCTGCTTCCAGCACATCCTGTAGACCTATAGACGCCAGACTGATTCTCCAGTCCTCAGCTCCAGTTATCCTCTGGGTGTACGTGTGTGTCTGTGCAAGTATGCATACTCCTAACCTTGGGCTCAGGACCCTGGAGCAGGGCCCTAGCATAAATGGGCAGGAATTTGAGATGGAATTCTACACTTCCCAGGTAGGAAACTAAGGGAGAGGGTTAGGCACATCTCATGCATCACCTTCCCCGTTAGTAGAGAGTAGCTGGGCTTAGGAGAATGTTCCAGGGCTTTGCCTTCACTTACCCCTGTCCTGGGAACCTCAGCTAAGGATTCCCCACGGAGGTTTCTGAGCCTCCTGGAGCACATAGTGAGTATACCTTGGAAGAGTCACCTGCCTGGGGACCGAGAGGGCATTTTCTGTCCAGAACACTGCCCAAGCTGTTGTCTTCAGAGGCTTCTGACCCTCTGTCATTGCCAAGGATATGAGTAAACCCTCAGGACATGGAACAAGGATGTTTAGGAGTCACTAAGGTGACTAACTTTTCTCTGGGCAAGAAAATCTCAAGAGAGAAAAAGATCCTGACCCAGACCTGAGGATGAATTCATGACTTCACTTGGTTGGAGGGTGTGGTTCCCTTGAACCTCATCCCCCACAGCCCTAAGCCCCATATGGCTGCCTGGAGCATCCTGGCAGCACTCATCCAGGGTTCCTGCCCAGAAGTACAGTCAGGTGAGAGCGAACAGCTGGAAACTAGTGACTGCAGTCTCCCATGAAGCCCCACACACCATTTGTAGCCCCTCAAGAAGCAAACTCCTCTCTCCCACTGCTCCAAGGAGGCAGCGCCGTTGCTCTGGGCTTCTGTTCTGTCTCTCCCATTGACTGCAAACAGCTCTGGCTGCTTCTGTTTTCCCATTTTTTGCCGCATTTGGCTTCTGCATTTTGTTCTTTAGCTGTGGCTGCTGCTGTTTGGAAACCACGTGTAAGCTGAAGACTTTTTTTTTCTGTATTTTTCTTCCTACCTTTTTTTCCCCTTAAAGCCAGAAAGTGAGCAAGGTCGTAGAACTTCCTTAGAAAAGTTCACTCGCAGTGTGGTAAGTTCAGTTGATTTTCTTCCCTCAATGTTTCTTTTGGTTCTAGTTTTGGTTTTTCAACTTTTTTTGTCCTTTTTTGGTTACTGTCTTTTCGGGGCTGGGAGGGATTCCAGTGCTTTCCTCCTCGACTCACCCCTTTTCTTTTGTGAGCGTCTGCAGCTTCTCTTCTAGGGATGGATTTGCAAAAGAGCAAGTGGCTCCCTTTGCAGAAGGTGCACAGTGGACCGCCCAGCCTCAGGCCTGGGCCTGTGCTCCCTGTTCGGGGCTCTGAGGTGAAGGACCCCACTGCTCACGGGGCTGTGCGGTTTGTGCATCTTCTACAGGAGAAGTGCAACCAATGTACCATGAGACAAATTGGCTCAGAGCCATAGCTCATCTCATTTAAAAAAAAAAAAAAGGCCAGATTTCCTCTGTGAACTCTGACGGTCACACTGGTGCAGGGCGCAAGCTGGTGTTGCTATGTGGGTGGCTTTGGCTGTGTGCAGAAAGTGGCTGCGCTGCATGGGTTCTGGCGATGTGGTCTTGCTGGTGTGTTAGCAGCATCTGCATGAGTTCCTACCTCCCTCACAACCCCTATCAGCTCCTTTTGTCTACTGCAACTGGGAGGTCAGTAACCAAGTCCTGTCACTGTCCCCGTACTCCCAGGGGCAAAGTCTCATTAGGCTCTGCAGTCTCTGATTCTGACAATGAGTAGACACAAGCTATATGTTCACTGCCCTTATGAGGGATCAGCCTCCCTCCCAGGCACACTAGCATGGAAAGGAAGGGACTGGAATGGCACAGGAGAGAGCCCATGGGAAAAGGTGACAGCAGGTAACACAGCATCTTCCCTGATATGCACAGTGGAGATTCTATACTATGGTGGGGGGTAGAACAGTCTAGACTTATCTCCTGTCTCCAGTTGGTTTCTCTGAAATTTGAGCATAGGTCTTGGTACACAGGAAATACTCTACCTGACTCATTCACACACAAATACACACACGCACACACACACATACACACACACAGCAAATAAATAAATAAAAACCAAGCCACTGAGTTCATAGGCCCTTTCTGCATTGTTAACATTCAACCAGAGGAAACCAAGATGGCAGCAGAGAACAGGGCTCTTGTTCATGGAAGTGGCCATATTTCTTCTCCCAAAGAGTAGCAATTTGCCCCATTTTCCCACCTCTCTTGCAGAGGAACTTCTTGGTAAAATACGCCTACTGTGTGATTATTATCCGTATTCATCCTTTTAACATAATTCTGGGAAACTTTGGTAGAAAGCAACCTATTCATTTGGCTATCGTGGTTCGATGTATTTTAACTACATTTAAACATTACTTAAAATTCACTAGCTGTAGACATCACAAGAGCTCTACTAGATGGCAATTAAAACGTAAGTGTTCATCCCTTCTCTTCTTGGGTCTCCTCTCTCTGTGGTCTTTCCTCATGAGAAATGAGAAAATCCAAAAAACAAAGTCTGCTGGGTTTTTGTCACATGGCTGGTTTACCAAGGCCATGTGGAGTTCCATGATGAGAAGGTGTCACAGATTGTCAGAGGCAGAACAATGGAATTTCTTGCGCCCCATGATGGCTTCACAAAGAGCGGTAGAGTACCTCTGTTTCTATTGAAGGTGGAAGATATTTAGGGACTTAGACAAGCTAAGAGTGTATTGTGAGAGCAGCTTGGCTCCCCAGATAAAACCTGGAGAGAGAAGCACAGCTTTCCTGAATAGGAAAGCAGAATTCTGACACCCCTGTTCAGGCTCCTTTCATTACTCTACAGGGCAAGAGTGTGAAAGAGGAAATTTGGTACTGGGATCAGATTCACAAACATCTTCAGGCTTTTGTTATGAGAAGTGGATATTGGGAAAGGCAAGAAAGATGAAGTTCTGTGATGAGCATTTATTGATGTCCCTTCATCCCAGAAGTGGTGTTGGCTCAGTAGTTCTTCAAGGTCTATTAACAAAACAGAGCAAGAAAGCACCAGCCCGCCTCCAAGTGTCTCAAGTGCACACAAGGGAGAATTCATGGGGATGCTGTCAGAGTGGGCTGAAGGAGAAAAATATTCCAAGCTCCTGAGACTTTGGGCATTTATATGATAGAAGACCCAAACTTTAAAAATTACATTGCTAAATTCCCTGCTGCTTTTTTATGAACAGGAGACTGTAATAGGTAGTACTTTCAAACCTTTTAGGTCCATGCATGTCTTTGGACTCTTGGAGTAGCATTATAACCTGTGGGTGTGGCTAAGTTTGGGGACATGGCCGATGGGTATAGGACACTGTCAGCTCTCAGACTATCCAAGACTAGAACCCAAGAATTTGGTCCTAACATACCAGTGTTCTATTCAAATATAACCAAACAACCAATATGCTTTGCCATTTGATATTTACTGTCCAATATGTAGATATATCGTGTTTAATTTTCTAAAAGATTTACACAAATATTTCGCCTACCACATACTGCAAACTGTCAAACTAAACAAAAGTCAGCCAGGCACAGTGGCACATGCCTATAATCCCAGCACTCCAAGAGGCTGAAGCAGGAAGTTTGTGGATTCAAGCTCAGTTGAACAACTTGTCAATTTAGCAAGATTCTATCTCACAATGTTTTTAACAATGTTTAAAGGGCTGGGTTTGCAGCTCAGTGTAAAGGCTCAGGGTTCGGTCCCCTGTATCTATATCATTGGGGAAGAGGTGGCTAACGTCCAGTTTAATAGCATTCCCAAGTCATTGGGAGAGACAAGTAAGAACAGTACCCAAATCACAGAGCTAATAATGGAAAAATGGAAGCGTGAAGGCAGGCTGCTTATGGATCTAGGACATGGGCCAACTGTCATTTAGGATTAACCAACAGCAGAGCATGTTGATTCAAAGGGCTGAATAGTTCAGTCAGTGTCTTGGCCAAACTGAATCTGAATCCTGAATTCCTCCTGCAAAACATCAGTGCCCTCTTCTTTCTTGGCCAAAGAGAAAAATATGGAGAGAGCCAATTTTTCCTTTCAAGTCTCAAGGTGTGTCCTGACATGGAAGGATTGTCTAGTTAAATCCATGGGTGTCTGTGTTACATGAGATCAATCCTAAGGAGCAATTTAAGTGCTTCATGGAAACTTCCAGGGCCATGCTACCTTGAGTTCAGGAGTGGTCTGGCCTTCTCTAGTAGAGTCAGTGTTTCCAGTGGAAGGATCATTTTAGGCCACCTAGGACTTGAACATGCCAAGTAAATGTCTGGTGATCTGTACTAGTCACGTATCATTTGGAAGACCGGAATCATCCAGCTTGCCTAAAGCCCTGCTTATTTGATGGGGAAAGCCCAGGGTCAGAACCATGTACAGCTGAAAGTTCATGTCAAGTTGCAACCAGTGTATACTGAACTTTTATTCAAAACAGCAGACAAGACTTCCTCTGGGGAGTCCAGACTCCTTGATCCCCAGCTGGCCAAGCAAAACACAGGTGGGATTTCAGCCCCACCTTGGCTCTCAGCTGCCTGTGTGCAGAAATAACCCACTCCACTGTACAATTTTCCTTTTCTGAGAAGCCCTAGTTTCACAAAGTATTGTAACACAAGGAAGTGTGTTAAAGGACCCCAGATGGGGTCTGTGGCCAAATGAATCTGTTTCGGAAAAGTCAGATGTATAAGAACCAGTCACCAAAGTTAGAGAGCACCAAGAGACTGAAGAAACACTGGACAGATCTAGGATTGCACCAAGTGCAATTCATTAAGGGCTTGTGACATTGAATGGCAGCAAGATGGGAAGATCCCTGCACCCCAAAGCAGGAGGAATGGGTTAATTGCTAAGCTACACAAAGATGGCCCATGGCTAACCAGAATATACCTGGTCTTTCTCAAGAAACTATTAATATGTCAAATGTCAGTTAAGAAGCAGTCTGAGCATCAGTGGGCAGCATGAAATGCTTCACTGACTGTTTTAACAACTTTGTTTATCCTGTCAGGTTTGGAATGTGTGCCAGGGTCATATGGCATGCAAGATAGTGGGTGCCACCAGGATGGCTGTAGTCAGGTCAAGCTGGATCCCATCATGAGCAAGGGCCATTCTCGCCTTAATCTTGCTTACTAGAGAGCTTCCTTTCACAGACAGTGGCTGTAAAATATGAAAGCCACAGCAGGAAACACCTGGCTAGTTATTATGGTTTGCCTTGCGTCACTTTCCATCTCATCTTTGGACTCTTTGGTGGGATGCCCTGGGCATCATTAACCAGAGAGAGGAAGGGACTTCCTGCTGCTCAGTCCCAACCAGCCCGCCAGTCTCTGCTATCTTCCTGGTTTTGTAGTAGACAGGTGACAATGGGGGCACAGGGTGGCTAGATCTGAAAGGCTCACCGCTCCTGATGTCTTTTAGATGGGCTCATTCCTTCAGAATTCCCAGGGGCGACCATGGCCTGACTCAAGAGCGAGTGAGAGGAAGCACAAGGGCTTTAGCCAACCACAATGACAACAATGTGATTTTCACTTTGTGGATGATAGCTGAAGCCATCTGGTAAGATCCCTCATTTGGGAGAAGCTAAAGTCCCCTACCCCCTGTTCTCCAGTACCAGAGAGTAAATCAGGAGAGATAGGGCCTCAGATGACAATGGCAGCAGGTTCCTGGACACCTACCTGGATACTCACCCTTGAGAGCTTTGTTGGCTCTAGCGTTGGGCCCTGAAGATGGGGAACAGGTTTGGTTCCACCTGAGCAAGCGCTGGGACCCACTTTGCCGACAGCAGGAAGGGCCAGAGCTGAGGGAGCCTCAGCATGTGACCAGCAACATCTCTGCCACAGGCTTTTCTGTCCTGCCTGCCAAGGAATGCATCAGGAAAGTCAGATGGAGACAGGAGGCTCTGGGAGCCAGCTGTCACTCTCTCCTCTCTCCCTCGCCCTCCTAGCCAAAGCTACTGAGCAGGTCAACACCCTCCCAACCCCCAACCCCATCAGTGCAGCTCTGCAGGAAAAAACCCCTAGCTCTAGTCCTATGCTCACCAGAAATAGAAGGCTGAGGCTGCTGGGTGGAA